ACATTGTTGAGATTTTCTGCATTTCATATGATAGAACTTAATCCAATTTAGACCCCTTCCATCATCCACAACTCCCAATGCCCCCTCTTATTTCATGCATTTTGTCTCATATGTTAAGGCTTATCTGGTCAAGAATTTGTACCCAGATGTCCCTTGGTACAAGTTCATCCACTGAAGTCTAGTTAGCCTATCTAGATTCACCCTCTTAAAGAGGATCAACTTTCCCTCACCCCACAGTAATCAAATGGTTTCTAATACCATCACAGCATAAAAAGATTTGATCCTTTGTTGAGAAACTGCTCTTTCTAGGACAGTGAACAAGCATAAGCTTATATATGCTAGTTGTATTGACAGCACCCAAGTGAGGCTGGAGCAAGCATGCACGTGTGTGTGTGTGTGTGTGTGTGTGTGTGTGTGTGTGTATGAAATTCCTATATGAGCTGACCCTCAAAGTGTCTTTTCCTTTGGCTGGGGCTAAAAATCTTACAAACATGTTTCTGAGGATGTTGCTTTTGCCTTCGTTGCTTTATGTTGCTTTATGGCCTTCGTAAGTCAGAGAGCTCAGCAGTCACCAGCTGCCAGTCGCAAATCATGGCATGAGGTCTGCCACTTTATTATTTTCAGTAAGAATACCCAGAAATATGCACAAGAGGTACATTTATGATATAGTAAGTGTATCCAGGAATATTACCATCCATCATCTTTGAATCAAATGTTTTGAACTCATGTTCCCAGAAATAGTTGCAACTATGTGAAAGCTAACACAAGTCTGTCAGAGCTCACTGTGATTGTGCAGAACTGGAATGATGCTGGCACAAAACTGTATTATCTTGGTCTAACTTTAGGCCCTTAGTATCCATTCGTTTTCCAGCTCTCTGATTGACCTGTCATTCTTGTGTCCAGTGCTCATTGAAGATAGTAGCTAATAGGTATTAGCTGGGGAGAGGAGGACCAAGTTTCTTACATGAAACTTCTAGCTTTAAAATAGGTAATTAGCTTAGGGGGTGAGAGAGGGCCACAGGGAAATCTTAGAATCCATACAATAAAAGTCAAGAGCTTGGGGCTGGAGAGCTTGGGGCTCAGCGGTTAAGAACTCTGGCTGTTCTTGCAGAAGACCTGGGTTCAAATCCCAGCACCCACATGGCAGCTAACAACTGTCCATAACTCCAGTTCCAGGGGGATCTGACAGCTTCTTCTGTTCTCCAAGAGCATTGCAAGACATGGGTGCACTTACCTACATGCACGCAATATACACATACACATAAAATAAAGAATATATAAAATATTTTTTAAAAGTCAAGAGCTTATTTTTTGACAGGTTCTCCCTAGCTCCAGCTCAACTGGAACTCACTAATATAGACTAGACTGGCCTTGATCTCACATAGATCTGCCTATCTCTGTCTCCCGAGTACTGGGTTTAAAGGTGTGTACCATCACACCCAGAGTAAGAGCTTTTTTGTTGGTGGTGTTAAAGCAAAGAATTGTTCATATAAATGTTTATTGGATCAAAAATGCACCTGGTCTACAACATAGTGAGTTCCAGGACAGCTGGGGCTACAGAGAGACCCTGCTTCAAAAAGACAAAAAAAAAAAAAAAGAAAAACGCCCAACATCT